TATATATATAATTTAAAAAGAAAAAAACGGTGTACAATTATTGAAAGTTGACTTACGGAACACAAATTTCTTAAACTATAACAAAAAAAAACATGGTTATTTCAATAGCTCCTGCTATCTGTATCTGATAATCGTACGCTGATAAAGGTAGCAGGTGCTACTGACAATTGCGTATGAAACTTCGCATTAATGCATACATACACAGGCCTACATACAGTACATGATAATCAGAGACATTAACTTACCTTCTGTTTTTCAAGAGCAATCCAAAAACCTTCATCAGTTCTATAAAAACTTCAAAGTTGCTGTCGTCTTCCTCTAACTCATGTTTCCACAGACGACGTAGCAATGCCTCACTCAGAATGCCTTTATCAAGCAGATGCCATGACGCCATCACTGCAGGTCTCTAAATATAAATCAAATGACCAAACACAATGTTATTAATGAAATTGTTTTAGGTAATTTTGAATGCCATTTGGTATTTTCCATTTTTTTAAACACATTAAGTATTCTAGAACTGGTCAGGAGTGTTATTTAAAAATGGTAATTTTTTATACTGCATGTTAAAATGTGTAGGGTCTATCCCGCACGCCAGTTTACTTGATTGTTACCTGATCTTTTGTTGTGATGACTTTCGTGAAGACTTCAATCAACATGAGGACGTTAGTAATCACAGTGTTCTTCAACTTGATGTTGGTTGGCGAATACATAATAATTCCACAATCACTTAAATAGTTGAGAATGTGGATAATGTTTTCGTTCGGGATTCCACAATCATTAGCAATCTCAGTGACCTAAAAAAAATATTGAATAAAATACAACACTCTAATAGTTGTATATAAATATAAATATAACCAACATAAAAATAGTCATGACAATGAATTAATAATAATATTAATAATAATATTAATAATAATAATAATAATAATAATAAAATAATAATAATAAAATAATAATAATAATAATAATAATAATAATAATAATAATAATAATAATAATAATAATAATAATAATAATAATAATAATAAAAATCACATTTATTAGAATAAATTCTAAATTATTTTTCCACAATCTTATAGAATGTTTATGAGGCTGAGGAAATTTCGGATAAATATGACAAAATGGTACCTCGTCTAAGGACATGCGCAGTGTTGTTTTCCCAACTTCTTGGATTTTCGACTGGAAATCAACCCATTTTGTGGGAACTTTTTTTGCCATTTGCTTTGTGTAACCTCCGAGATTTTTCTTTAATTCTTCAATCCCTTTGTCATTTGCTGATGTATTATCTACAGCATACATCGTTCTGTCTACGTGACGTTCGAATGGCATCCCTTTGATTTCTTCAAATATTATTTTGAATATTACTTCAAGCTTTGAATAAAATTAAACAGTACAATTTAATATAATTCATTTTGCCTGTGTTTTCATACATTGAAATTTACAAAAACAACAAAAGTGAAGTGGGTAGTAGCTGTGGAAGACTTTAAGTGGGGTGTAGATATTGTGTTGACAGGTGTGGAGTTGAATAGATTGGATGCTCACCTTCCAATCTCAAGGTCATTGGTTCAAATCCTGTTAGATCACAGGATATTTCACTCACGATTATAAACAACTCCACTACATAAGTCTCATTATAAGTTTATGTAGAGCACCATGTGTTTATGTTTGTCATGTGATTGCCACCTATTCAATAGGACACTGATTTAGTCGCTATGGGAAAATAAAATAAATTTTAAGGGTGGGCGATGATAACATTGGTAAACTTTAATAAAATAAAAGTGGATTTCAATGATGGACAGGGGAGTAAATAAAGATTTACTTATGTGTGGAGAGCCAAAAAAATAGCTTCAGACTGGAAGGAAAACTTCAAGCCCAGGTGGCCCCGCCTACCACCGTAAATCATAACTATATTTCGTTTAAGACGTTTTGTTGGCTCGTCCGGTGAAGATACTTAACGGACGGGTCGGCATGTGGAAGTCTATTCCTGTCTGTTAGAGGATTGGGACTGGATGCTACATGCTGTGTCGATGTTCCGGTGGATTGGAGAAAGTATTTTCTCCCCCTGCCTCTGTGTAATGATGCTCCATTACTTAGTGTCCTGCTGGATGAAATGACATGTTTTTTTTTTTCCTTTTCTTCTCGTCATGCTATGTAATTATGGTTTGATGTATTATGTTATGTTAGAAATATGAATTAAAAAAAATAATAACAACAATATTCCAGTGGTGGAGATCATCCTAAAATGCGTGCAAGGTTTCGTTTTTTCTTTTGGGTGTTTTTTTGCCGCTTTTCTGCTAATTTAGAATTTTGTCATCATTATCACCACTACCACCACCACCGTCATTGTCCTCATGGCCATATTTAAAAAGACAAATTCTTGTAAAAGAAAATTTTAATAAATTATTTATTTAAAAATCTAGAGTTAAATAACTACAATACAGTATTAGTATCATCAAGGCCACTGATATAGATACTTTTGGCAACAAGTGGAATATTTGTTAATACTTTGTTTACGTAGAGATTAAATTTATCACGTTACCGTATGTATTAACAATTTTTTTTTTTTTTACATTACACAAAATTCCAGTATACTGTAATATGTCTAAAACTGAGATGTAATATCTTACCTGATTCTGTTTATCCTCCTCACTTCCCTCTAACTTGTCTTTGTGAGTGCCAACCAAACTGATTGTGGGTGAGGCTATCGTGTCATTTATCAATTCCGTACTTGCGTTATATTGTAGTACAGCGTGCTCATATATTGACCGTATCCAGAAAATAATCATTTGGAGATTAGTAATTTCAAACTGATCCTGATAAGAGGAAGAGAGGAATAGTGGAGAGTAAAGAGAGAGAAGAGAATGAGTGCCATAGTTAAGATTATTAAATTACAAAGTTACTCAAAATATCTATACAAAATATAAGAACATACTTAATATACTAAACAGATCTGATATGCAATTAAATTAATGGGAAGTAATTCTCTTTATTGCATAGTAGAAAAGGTGAAATTATTTATTTACTTTCAGTGGACCTCTTGATTCTGCCAATTCATTTAAAGGCTCAAACAAACTAAAAGCGACGACATATGATGATCCATCTGTCAAGAAAAACTGGAAAGGAAAAAAAAGTAAATACATGTATGATTGATTAAAATAATATTAAACATTAAGTTAAAAATCTCTTAAATGTCAACTGATCATTAAAAGAAAATGAAATTATCAACGTATCAACTGTATTTTGATATTTATGGTTTATGTGCGTAATTTATATTGATGCTGTTGAGTAGACATGCGCAGTATTATCTCAACTATAATCAGCACGATCGGTATTGTATTATCACTACAGTAATTATAAGAGCTGGACCCAAATGAAAGCAAGTCATGAGTTATCATTGGCTTTATTCCATGTTAAACATTCTTCTCTGTTTTATAAAAGTTTTTATCGCATTAGCGTGTTTTGTTTTTTAATGATGAATCATATCTCCTATTTAATATTCATTGTACATTTGGATGTATATTATTTTAATACACGTTGATATGAACAAGGAACAGTTAAATTGTAATTTAACTGTTCCCTGATATGAATAAGTAATTTTACTGTATTTATTTTTAAAAGAAGTTTTGCTGACTCATTATATGGTAGTGCACCGACATTCATATGTAAACATCCATTAACTCTCGAATGATCTAATCTAATGTCCAGTGACAAATACAATAATATAGTTGTATATTATAAGATTGGCCAACATAATACCATATACATGATTACTCGGTACGTTTTCAACAAAGCTTTCAAAGCGTGCATCACTCGGTACTTTGTCAGTAGCATTGTTTCTCGAATGAACAGTAAGTAAGTGGCTGTAGGCCTAGCTTTTAATAGAAAATAAGATAAGCAACTACAGAATTCTTAATATTGATTGGCTAGGAAGGATTATGATTGTGCTTAAACTTTGATAGAGTACGCACTATATGAAGTTTAAGTGCTACTCATGCCAATTGGTAGGCGTGTCGTAGTGTCATTTCAGGCGACCAGTTTTTCGTTATTAACAATTAATCGCCTTTATTATAACATCACAAGTGAAAGAAAAAAATATAATTCTGTTTTCCAATGACAAATACAATAATGTTAGAATGTCTTGTATAGTCAGGGAACAGTTAAACTGTTCCTTGGTATAACATAATCAGGAAGGTGCTATGCTGCTTACCCTGTGAGTTATATAATATGAGATTTGGCCTGCATAATCCCATATACATGTTAAATCCCTTGGTAATTTATCAGTAGTCTTCTTTCTCGTTACTTTCATGAAGAATCGTTTAAAAAGGCCGGGTTTTTCAAGATTTGCAACAACTTTTTTAACAATTTCTTCTGGGAGTCTATCAAACTGTCTAGTCGATACATTTGCAGCACTCTGAGACACATCAGAAGTTTCTAAAAAAAATAAGAAAATAACATTCGATGATGATGATGTTGATTGAAATTTATGAGGAATGGCAAGAAAAGATGATAAGATAACTATGAAAAATATGATGTTACTGCTTAAGATGCACAGTACGTGGAATTCTAAGATCTAGGATTATTGACAGAGGATGAAAGGGGCACGTGAAAATCTGAGTGGGGAAGGGGCTCAATTATCAAGTGCGCGTAAGCTACCAAAATTAGAGGGGGAGAAAAGAAAAATTACAATTCGTCGGAAACAAAATATAATGTAGCTTTTACATACCTTTGAAATCCCTAAATGTTAACTCCCGGTAGATTTTTACTGTATCTCTTTTGAGCGATGCCTGACCACCTTATTATGCTCTCGTTAGGGAAATAGACAACGCGCAATGCAAAGTAAAACAATGCTTAGCGGGAAATACTATCGACTGCCCGATTCCCCTGTAAAGTAATGATATAAGGGAAGTGATGAACAGTGATCTTAAATAATACATACCTCTTTCCTCTAAAGTTAAACTTGTAGCTTCTTCTGATGTTACCTGCAATAAAATAATTTGTAAAAATTGTACAGTATTTGATAAAGTTTTGTTGTTTTAGAAAATAATAATTAATTTTAGTTACTCCTATGTAGTTAAGATATTCTATTTATAATAAAAAATTACTAGCATAGTTGAAAATATGGAAGTATCAAGTACCAAATAGCAAAGCTACAAAATATCGTAAAACTGATAGACGACGAATCAAAAATAATGGAATCGATGTCAGAAGAACGTTTTAGAAAGTAGGGGAGTGGTAATCAATCCAGTATGCGAGCATAGCGAGCATCTAGGCCGGGGGAGTAAACGGGAGAAGCTTATTGGAAGATACGAATATTTGACCATTTTTTAAAATGAATTTTACTATTTTATAGGCATCAAATTAATGTAATATCATGAATTCATAATTGTCTAATGTCAAAGTCCAAGTTGAGTCTACTTCCACGATCACAGTGAATTTTTCCAAGCATTATGAGGGTATCCTTGATGAAAATTAACACAAATAGCTCAATGCGGAAGCTTGCCTAAACGAAATTCAGACCTAATACTAAAAAAATTATTCCACGACGAAACCTTCTCCGGTTAGACGAGGGGGCCTTGAAAATAATTAAAAAAATAAACTCTTGGATGCCCGGAAATGGTACTTTAATATTCAACGTTTAATATAGTCTACCATTTGTTTTACCTAATATGCCAAGCGATTATGCAATACAGTTTTTATAATATATAACACATTTTAATTACAATTTGTACTATTAAAACTGTAGTTAACCTTTAGAGAACTTTATTAAAAACAAAAGTAAAAAAATAAATAAATAAATAAAAAATAATGTATTTTGTATTTGTAGTACAAATGTTTTCTCTTCTAGAAAAAATATTAAGAAATAGTGTAAACATTAATTAGGATATAGTAATTGAAAGGAATTATGTACAATGAAAATGAAAATATATATATGTGTATATTATGTATGTGTCTGTGTGTATGTGGGGTGTGGGGGTGTGTGTGTGTATGTGTATATGTGTGTATATATATATGTATATAATGTTTGTATGTATGTATATATATGTATATATATATATATATATATATATATATATATATATATATAAGAAGTAAGTGGAAGAGATTAAACTTTGAAAACAAGACTTTTCAAAAAAATATATATGTTACAGAGGGGAAGGATTAAAAAAATATATATATATTCCAGTGAAAGCTATGATTAAAATCAAATGCTTTATAGAATAATTGATCTAATTAATTTTATCAGTCATTTTAATTGTATATAAGCATGAGTACTATATCAAATTTGTAAGATACTGTGCATGTATATAAATAAGAATTGTGTATTACATTGGAGAACGTATTATTGATATATTTACATGGAATGACAATAAAGCTGGGAAACACCCACAAAAGACTGGAGATGCTGCAGAACTGGGTGATACGGACATAGATGTGGTTTCCTGGCTTTCTGGTGGTTCCAACTTCCTTGCAATATGTATTTGCTTGGTACACACACTGTACAATAATCAAATAATTATTAGGCCTATCTTAAGTATATTGATTTTTAATCAATTCATTTGTGATCACGTATATTTGATAAGTAACAATATTTATTAGAATACACGTCTAGCTTAAAAACGCCAACTCAAATACCCCCACCCTCGCGAGTCTCAGTTGAAATAAATATACCAAGCAGTGACAGCATGGTGACAGGAAGTAAGTAATTAATTTACATATCAATAGGGCCTACTGTGAGGAGCCATAGTGGAGCTAAGCAATAATTAGAATGAAGAATGTGCCGGTCATGAGGGAAATGCTCTCTCCACCGGTAGTACAAATTGGTCAAGTCAACAACAAACAACCAGGTTCTTAACCATTAATAATGACACTGTAAGTAACCATCATATTGCAAATGAAAGTGTTATTATAAACCCATTAATTAAACCAAGAAAACGACATAAACGTGGCAAAAAGAAAGGTACGATTAATAAATGCAATAATTTAAAAATTGCATTTAATAATATTAACAGAGTTAAATCTAAGATTTATGAGATCGATCACTTCTTGAAAGACAATGATATTCAAATATTTGGCTTAGCTGAGACCTTTCTGCAAAACAATCAGATAATTGATATCAATGGATACAAATGGGTTGGAAAAAATAGGAGGCTTAAGAAAGGTGGGGGTGTTGGTTTTCTAATATCAGAAGGGGTTACAGTCACTGAAGATAATCGTTTTGACTCAAACGATGATGACTATGAAAGATTATGGATCAAAGTTAAGTTAAACGATAACAAACAAATGTATATAGCAGTGGCCTACTTTCCGGTAGAAGGCACTGATACAAGTTTATCTAATGAATTATATAACCAATTACTTTCAGAAACTATACAGATAGAAAACGAAAAATACCAGACAGAATTGCCAATATTAATAATGGGAGATTTCAATGCCAGGATTGGTAATG